CCCAGTTTTTTTTCTTTCATTGATCTTGCTTAATGTTCTCTGTGCTTCGTGGTTCTATAGTTTGGTATCCAACATTAACATGGGTGGACTTTTTCACTTCTGCTTCCTTATTCTTTTTCCGGGAATCCATTATCCAGGCATCGTGTGTTCTATCGTCCCAAAGTCCTTGGAGGGTTCCCTCCTGTGTTTCCATTTTCTTTGCTTTTCAGTTTTGATAGTGGCCATAGCTATATTCTCTGGCTCAGAGACTTCTTTATTCAGCATCCTGACACAGCTAATGTGTCTGCTAATGTGTCTGAAATCTCAAACCCTTCAGAAATTCTTCCCCAGTCATTCCACTTCTGGCCCACAGTGTCTTTACTGGCTGCTTTCTCCTTTCCCACTGAAGCCCTTAGCATGTTATCTGTACTTCAAAGTTGATGTCCTATTGGTTGATTAATAAAGCACTGTTGGCCAATAGGGAAGCAAGATAGGTGGGACTAGGAGTCGAAGAGGATTCTGGGAAATGTAGTCAAGAGTACCATGCGATCCCTAGAAGAGAGGATGCATGAGGCTGGGGTCCTCGGTAAGATGTGTCCTTATGGAAATATGTATTATTAGTCATGGGTTAATACTTAAGATAGAGCTAGTCAATGAGAAGCCCTGGACATTGGCTGACAGCATTGTAACTAATAGAGTCTCTGTGTGTTTGTTATTTGGGGCTAATGTGGCTCTGGGACCAGGCTGGAGGAAAGAATACACGGTATATAAAGTCCTTTCCCCTGTGGCAGTATCAGGATTGTTGCAGTGTCTGGCCCTGGTTTTGATGCTCATCCCCATCTCAAAGGGTTGCCCTATCCTGTCTTTGGTTTGGTTTGTGTTTTAGTATGCTGTAGAGTCTTGAGTTACAGCGTGGGCACACGCCTTGCAAATGTATCTGCTTTGGCAATGGCAGTGGTAATGTGGTGAGGTTTTGAAACCTTAATCTCTCCCCCAGTGACACACCTCCTCCAACAAGGCCTTACCTCCTAATCTTTCCCAGCTGGGGACCAAGTCCTGGAGACCAAATGACTGAGCCTATGGGGCTCTCAAACCACCGCAGTTCATATAACCATCATCTCAAAGATCACACTGTCAGAAAACTCAGGCACAGCCTTGACTTGTTACAAGTCCACACTTGTCAATACATTTTTCAGAGAGTTACCCATGTCAATAGGAAAATGAAGACAAGGAAAAAAGTTGTAGAAAACATACCACTAGAGCTGGGGAGAGATCTCAGTGGTTGTTAATAAGCAAATGGACCTTAAGCAAGCAGAGTCTGGGTCCCCAGAACCCACATATGTGCTGTATTGGCATGGTGACTTACCTGTAATCCCATTATGGGGAGGCAAAGACGGAGGTTCTCTGGAGAAAAATGACTAGGGAAATTAGGCTCTGGGTTTAATTGAGAGACCCTGTCTCAACGAGTAAGGTGGAAGAGTGACTGAGGAACATTCCCAACACCAGTCTCAGATCTCTGCCTGTACACGCACACATATGCACCTACACATGGATGGGCAGGCATACATGCGTGCACACACACACACCTCACACACATACACATACACATGGGAAAAAAGACAAAAGAAAACCTCTCACATCTAGCTGCTTCACAAAATGGCTAGATATGAAAAATAACCTCCCCTCATGCAGAGGAAAAGAAAGTCACGAATGAAAGAGAAAGCAGTGGGCTTCTGAGCTCCAGAGTCTGCTACCCCAAGGGACCATGGTAGGAAGAAATCTGATGTAGGCCAGTTTCACCCCCAGCATCATTCATACCCTGGAGTGGGGTGCAATTGTGAAAATGAAGGCTGTTGATGCTATGATTGTATGTTTACACACTGAAAACCACATCTCCGGATCAGATTTAAGTTACACATAATGGGAGACTGTCCCCTGTTGTGGAATATTAGTTCAAGATGTGTTGTGTTTGTTTATGCTGTGGAACATTTGTCTAACGATGCAAAGGCGAGTTGCGTTTTTACGCCGCATCTGTTCGACTCTGTGAAGCTGTGTTACTTTGCCTGCCTGAAACACCTGATTGGTCTAATAAAGAGCTGAATGGCCAATAGCAAGGCGGGAGAGAGAAATAGGCAGGGCTGGTGGGAAGAGAAAGGAGTGAGAAAGGAGGAGAGGAGGACACCAGGGGCCACCCAGCCACTAGCAACACAACCAGCCACAGAGTAAGAAGGAAACAAGGGAATAGATTATAGAGAAAGGTAACAGCCCCAGAGGCAAAGGGTAGATGGGATAATTTAAGAAAAGCAGGCTAGAAACAAGTTAAGCTAAGGTCAGACATTCATAGGTAAGAATAAGTCTTCGGTTAATTTATTTGGGAGCTGGGTGGTGGCGGGTCCCAAAAGAGTGAAAAGTTAAAGAGACAGAGAGAAAGGGAAGGAGGGAGGGAGGGAGGGAAGAAGAGAGAGAGAGAGAGAGAGAGAGAGAGAGAGAGAGAGAGAGAGAGAGAGAGAGAGAGAGAGCAATCCCAAATAAGCAGGGATCACTGGGTATCAGCTTAGAAAGCAGATGTTTTAAGAGAGAAAGAATGAATCTCCTTGCTGGCTTTAAAGAGGCAAACAACCAACAGGGCGGTGGTGGCGCACGCCTTTAATCCCAGCACTGGGAAGGCAGAGGTAAGTAGATCTCTATGAGTTCAAGGCCAGCCTGGTCTACAGAGCGAGTTCCAGGACAGCCTCCAAAGCAATACAGAGAAATCCTGTCTCGAAGAAGAAAACAAAGAAAAACAAGAGGCAAACAAACATGGTGGGATAGGAAATAGAGCAGGGACCTCAGGATGGGCTCAGCTGGGAGCAGCCCGGGGCAATAGCCAGCAAGAAAATGACGACCTGGGTGCTAGACAAGCCTAAAGGAACAAGCTATCAATTCTGCCCACCATCAGTTGTTGGTTGGGGGGAGTGCTCCCAAGAGAACAATGAATCACGATTCACTGATGAGCTGGAGCTGAACTGGCCCCAAGGAGCCAGGACTCCAGTTACACGCTACCTTATGCCTGGGAAGCTTACCTGCAGGCCTTTGGGAGAGCAAATATGCACTCCCCTAAACACTGATGTGATGGTAATTTAGCTATTCAGCAGCAGAGAACTAACACAGTCGCCTTGGACAAGAAGTGAAGACCAGTCCTCCCGCTGTGAAATGCGATGGTACACATAAGTCACCAGATTTCTACATTTATCATCCTGGGAAGATAAAAATCAAAGATGCTTTGTGATAACATCAGCAAGAACAGCATTTACCGAAAAACAGAAAGCTCTGGGGAGTAAGATTCCTTTGGCGCACTGGTTTTATTCAGATCTAGGGTGTTGGCAGAATGATCTGCCATATGGTTTTATGTCCAGCACATCTTGTAGATATTTCTGTGCCATAAATAAGAACCCCAGGGCAGAAGGAAAGATTTGTTTTACAGGGTTGAATGAAATAGTGAGCCATTGAGCAAGAGTGATGGAGCAGGCTTTGAAGGCAGAGATTAGTGCGATAAAAGTTTGCTCAACACTGGCCAGGAGCAACACGGGGTGTGAGATTCTGTCCTGCACTGTCATCTTAAGAAATTTCTGTGAAGACGAATTTGTGTTGGGGGAAAATATCGCATGTATGTGGAGCCCCCTGGCATGGCCAGCATCTCGGCTCAGGCTTAGCCACTGGAGACGGCGGTTTGCAAGAACATGACAATTCTAACACGTCTCTGCTCAGCACTTCAAAAGCAGGTTAAGAACCTTAAGACAGAAGCTGAGAATTCTCAAACAGTGCCTGAGTGTTCACAAGAAAAGGCCTGTCAACAGTCAGGCATGGGCAGAGGAGGGTCGCGCTGTTTGCTGGCGATAGATCACACAGAGAGGCAAGGGCCCGGGGAGGGGACAAGCACCATTGCTGCCCGTTTGTGAACCCACATTATCACTCCACCATGCTCCAGTGGATAACTCCAACCCAATGCTCACTCACACGGCCTTGGCTAAACTCCGTGAGTCATAAAACAAAGTAAGTGTGAATCTGGGAAAAGAACAGACAGGGACTGGAAGGGGGAGGTGTTGGCGGCAAAGGGAGGAAGAGAAGAGCGTAAAGAAGGCAGTCAGAGCACATGGTACACGTGCCTGACGCTGCCCAAGACCAGTAGCAATCGATACAAAATAGGTGAAAATGTGTGAACCGTACAGCTCTCTTTTAAAAATAAAAACCTAGCTCACAGAATCCTACCCCCAGGAAAGTTACCTGTATTAATATCCTGGAACTGATCAAAACATGAATGGCTTAAGCAACGGAATTCATTATCTCACTTTTCTGGAGTTTACAAGTGTGAAATGCAGGGAAGAGCCACCCTATCCCGAGAAGCTCTAGGAAGGGCATTGCTCTTTCAGCTTCTGGCAGCCATTTGTATTTCTTGGCGTCTTTGGGATCCGTGTTACATTAATGTCAGGTATTCACTCTTCTTCCCTGGTGGGTACATGTCTTACTGGCCCCAGCCTTTCTTTTAGAAGCTGATTCGCCATTTGACTTGGGGTCTCCCTGTGTAGCTCAGGATGGTCCCACCGCAGGATCTCTGGCCACCTGGGCAGAGCCTCCAATCTCAGTTAAGTCAAGTGCACAGGTCCCATGCGTTCACAAGACCATGTGCCTCTCTCTTCTAGGCCTCTATTCAGCACACACAAGTGGAAATGTGTTCACCTCCTTCTCGGGGACCATTTGGTGAAGCTCTAACCCCAGCAACTCCAAAACATGGCCTTCTTTGCAACAAGGTCGTTGCCAATGCATCACTTAAATCAAATGTAGTCTTGGTGGCAGCTGGACTGCATCTGGGCTAAGCTAAAATTCGAGTTGCTGGGTACACTTGTGAGGGATTTCTCTTTACTGGGTCATTCGTGGTGGGAAGACTCACCCTAAACCTGGGCCACACCTTCTGGTGTCATCTCACATGACACCGAAAGGACACGAAAGAAGGAAGCTTTTGCCTTCTCCCTGCTTGCACTCAGGTTTGCTAACAAGATCACCTGCCCTGCTACTGAGGAATCCCTTCACTGGTGTCAGAAACCCGCTTCTTCAGGATTACAACAAAGACTGAAGACCAGCACGCTCTCTTGGAATCCTCTGGGATTCCAGAAACGCATGGGTTTTTGGCCTCTCCATCAGGAGACATCCATCGTTGAACTAGCCAGACCACAGCCTGTAAGTCACTCTAATAAATTGTATGTGTGTATCTCTCTCTCTCTCTCTCGTGTGTGTGTGTGTGTGTGTGTGTATGTGTGTGTGTCTATCTATATCTCTCTCTATCTTTCCCTAACACAATGTCTTTATATTTCTGTATCTCAATACTACCAGATCTCCAGGAGACACCAGAAGTATGCAAGAGTCACAGAATCAATTCTCTCTCTCACAGCCCTCATAAGAAATCAGCCCTGCAGATGCCTTAGCCCTAACTCTGCAAAACTCTGAGATGATGAAGTCTGCTGTGGGAGTGAGCCATGCGGCTAACATGCTTTGCAATAGTGTTTCTTGCAGACTAACCCACCATATAGATGAATGTCGTTCATGTAATAATACTTAAATTATGAGTTTTATTTGATGGTAATGTTGCCTTCATCTATGAGCATTCCTCAGAAAATGGGTCTTTTATTTCCTACTTTACAAATAACTATAATGAGTATTTAACTCTCCACACATTTCTCATTTTGTGCATCCTTCTGGATGTGTCCTAATAAGTAAAAATCCTTTGTCTAAGGGTCTAGAAAAATAAAAAGGAAATGTGCTACTAAATTGCTTTCCAAGAAGTTGTGATACTTCCTCTTGTGTTATCTATGTGACTAGTGATTTTTGCATTTTGTATTTATTTTGCAACACTTCAGATTGAACCTAGGTCCTCATGTGTGGTAGGCAAGAGCCTGGTGTACCCCCTGAGCTATATTCTCTGCCCCCTCTTTTTCTTTTTTTTTTTAACTTTTTGAGACAGGACTGTCACTTTATTAGTCAGGCTGTCTATAAACTCTCCAGGTAGTCCAGACAGGTCTTGAACTCGCCACCCTCCTGAGGAACTGTGGTTGTAGGTAAAAGATTTACATACCTTGTTACCATCATTTTCCCCGGATCATTTCAAACACACTCACAGGATTTGGGCCTGAGGACACATTCAGATCTTTTTTTAAGTGTGTGTGTGTATGTGTGTGTGTGTGTGCGCAGGCGTGCATGCACATGCATAATTGTATATTTATCTGTCTGATCCCACCCATTTCTTTCTCTTGCTTTCACACAGCCACCTATGCGAAACTGCCACTGTCTCTGGCTTACACTTCCCTTAACACACTTAATTAAACAGAGCTCAGAAGCAGGGAATTCAGGAGAAGGGTAAATTTTTTAATGGATGAAGTTGCTCGCTTTATTAATTTTGACTTTTCATGATTCAAAACTGGAGTCTTAAGTGCGTGCTAGCCTTTTTAAATAAGGACGAGAGTAACTCGGGGGCCATATTCTTTCCCATTTTCCTTAACTGACTGTAAATTTGGAAGACTGACTTCCACATTGTGCAGGGAACTGGGGCGGGTATTAACCGTTTTTCCTCTGTTCTTGGTTGAGAGGGAATTCTGCTCTCCTGCCTGTCCATCACTTTCAGACTTCCTGGGCAGCTGTGGGGTTTCTTTTTAAGATTTAACAATAACTAAATATAAATAAAATTAAAATTACCAAGAGGAGAAAGAAAACATTTTCTGGGGAAATGCCAGAACTTAACTTCTGCCTACTTCTTCTACAACCCAGCATCCCCGATCCCTGCCCACCATATAGCTAACATCAAGAGCCAGGTTTCTGCTATTCAGACTGGACTCAGGGATGAGGAAACCAAGCCCCAGCCCTCCCTGTCCCCCTTAGTTCTCCCCGCCCCTCCCCCTGGCACCTACCCTCCTCCATAGCCTCCATCCACCTGGAGTAGGGTGCGGAAGAGCCAGATAAATAGGATCTGAGGCACATTTTGCTAGCGCAATAGGGAGTAATTGTTTCTGCAATGAATCAAATCAGATTCCTTCTCTCTTCCCCTCCCTCCTTCCTCGGCTTTTCCAGACAGGGGCGCCCTCCCAGCTAACTTTCCCCTCACCCAACGATGCACAACACCTAGGGAGAACCACCCGAAGCCCAGGAGATGCCATCTGCAGGGCCTGAGTGCCGGAGTCCCCTGCACTGCTCCCGCCCCGGGCAGAGGCCGCGGCTGGGCGCCCAGAGGCGACCAGGAAGGTCGGAGGGGAGGGTGCGCTCCTCCCGCCCCACACCCAGTCTCTGAACCGGATATATAGAGAGTCACGTTTGAGAGCCCGAGAGCAGCAGCGCGGTTCAAAACAGCTTGAGAGCCTCCCGCATCGCTGGGAGGACCCTGACCGCCAGTTGGCGAGCCACCCGCACTGAAGCAGCAGGTACCCAGATGTGGCGGCGGCGCGGCGGCGGGGAAACCAGGTTGGGCTGGGGAACCTGAGGACTGAGGCGGGGCGCGCCAACCGAGAAGCGGTGGCCCTGCTGGGTCCTTAGCAGCTCACCATCCTCCGGGGTCCTGTAGGCGCAGGGCATCTCTGAGTTCTCTTAGGTGTGATGGGCAGTCAGCAGAGAACCGGAAAGGGTTGATCAAGGTGAACATGGGGCCAAGGGACAGAGGCATCTCTGACTAGTCCCACCCAGTCCAGGGGCTGTTCCTAGAGACAGTGTGGATTCTGGACCATGTACGCTATGGTCCCCTTTCTTATTCTCCCTCACCCCACCCCAGGCTGTGAATGTCCAGACCCTCCCACTCAGAGACTCTCCCAGGTCAAGCACCCCAGGCTGAAAAGGACTTGGGTGGACAAGTAAGATCTGTATGGTGTCAAAAGTTTCTGACTTCCCCAGGTGACTTGGGCATCATGGAGAGAACAAGGGGGCAGGTACCAGGGCCTCCGGCTAGGTCAAGGTAGTTTAAGGAAGGCTGCTTCACACACACCCAGCTGGTGACATTACCCCCCACACACACACACACTCCCAGCAATTGCAGTCAGAACAATCCATGCCCGACCTAGGAGGGAATGCCTTCTACCTGCCAGGCTCCTGACCCGACTCTCCTTCCTGTCTCCTTACAGGGTAAGATTATGAGCATATTTTTTTTGTCTTCCATACATTATTTATAGAATATTGAGCGACAACAATTATATCTGTATCTGCAAGATTCTGGCTGCCCTTTAAATGTTGTTTGAGTGTTCCATTGTTTGTGAGCAAGGGGCCAAGTGAGCAGGTAACTCAAGAGGGTTGTGTGTTTCTGCCTGTTTAAGGCTGCATCCAGAGTTTGACATTGCAAATGGAAATATAAGACGCAGCCTGTAGTTCCACAACTTGTCTCTCTGCGTCTCCATTTTGCGGTTCTTGGGGCCATGGCCATAGTCACTCTAAGTTGTAAAGTACAACAAAGCAATTAAATAAAATTTAAGGCAGCTTACGAACCGTACAGGTGGTCAGTCTCAGCAAACTTCCCGTCTAGGGGTGTTGGGGGTGTCTAGAGATGGCCAAGAGGTTTCTCCTAAGCAGACTTCAAGGAACAGTGATTTCATTTGTGGTGCTTCTGAGACCCTGTGTCTGTAACTTACCCTTCCTTTATATCCTCTCCATGCCTGTCTTGAGAGATCCCCCCCCCGCTCCAAATGGTAATGCGGGGTTGCAGTTGTCTGTCAAATAGAGGCAGCTCACAGTGAGCTGGTCAGAATCACTAGGGGAAGGAGGATAAGCAATGATGAAGGAACTACAATGTGACCCAGCTGCTGAAGAGAGATTGCTTTCAGAGAGCCGAGAACTCAATAGCTCGTCTGTGGCTGTCACTTCCAGGTTTATAAAGAGTATAAACATCTTGGGGGCTGTAGAGATGGTTCAGTGGTTAAGAGCACTTGCTGCCTGTCTTACTCAGGGTTCGGCCACAGCAACTCTTATAAGGGGAGACATTTCATTGGGGCTGGCCTACAGTGTAGGGGTTTAGCCCATTGTAATCATGGTGTGTGGCAGCAGGCAGGCATGGTGCTGGAGAAGGAGCTGAGAGTTCTGCATCTTGATTGGCAGGCGACAGGAAGACGGAGTGACATTGGCCTGGCTCCAGCCTTTGAAAGCCCAAAGCCCACTCTCAGGGACACATTTTCCTCTAACAAGGCCACACCTCCTAGCGCCACTCCCTAAGCATCCAAATATGAGCCTATGGGGGCCGTTCTTATTCAAACCACCACGCTGCTCTTGCAGAGGACCTCAGCTTACACCATCCTTAACTCCAGTCCTGGGGTATCTGATGCCCTCTTCTAGCCTACTTGGGCACCTGGTATTATTGGGATCTACATATGTGCATGCAGGCAAAATACTTTTATGTATAATATAAATAAATTTAGGTAAATAAAGTTAAAGTGTTACCAAATACAGATACCCTCATCATATCATTATTTTCCCTTGAAGATCCATATTGCACTTCTTTCTGGCAACATTTGGTCAGCCATAAGGATTCATTGTTTCAATTTAATCATTCATTCACTTTTGTCAGGGTCTCATGTAACCCCGACTGGCTGGCCTTGCTTGAACTTGCTCTGTAGTGGAAAGTATATCCAGCCTTCTCTACTTCTGAAGTATTGAAATTATAGGCATGTATCACCTCCCCAGTTTGTGCAGTGCTAGGGTGAATCCAGGGCTTCTGTGTGCTAGGCAAGCATTCTTCCAATGGACTACATCTCCAGGTCCAGAAGGTTTCCCAAGTACCGTCTCAGAGGATCATAGCAGCCTACTTTCCCGTCGGCATATTCCGAGATGTGGGCTCTGTGGGAACATACACTAGTGGCAAGGACACATTCTTCATGTTTTCATGTTTTGCTTTGCTCACAGACCACTCCGAGTGTCTAATAAAAAGTTACAAGATACAAAACCAAACACACTTTCAGAAGGTCACAGCTTCCTGATGGCCAAGCGCCCAGATTCCATATATACAGCCACTCTTCATGGGACCAGTTTTTGTGGAATTCAGACTCAAGAGTTGAGCTGAGCCCCACAGTTAAAAGGGTCACTTGGCTTAACCTTGGAGCTGTCACTACTGTCTTAACAAGAGGCTTCACATCTTCAGTTAGCATAGGCTTCTTTCTCATTGTACCCTGACCCCAGATCGACAGCCCCATTCTAGAGCTTACTGGGCATGGCGTGGTTTTTCTTTTTTTTTTTTTTTTTTTTTTTTGGTTTTTACGAGACAGGGTTTCTCTGTATTGTTTCGGAGGCTATCGGTTCAGCCCGGCCTCGAACTCACAGAGATCCGCCTGCCTCAGCCTCCCGAGTGCTGGGATTAAAGGCGTGCGCCACCACCGCCCAGGGCATGGCATGTTTTTGTTTTTGTTTTTTTCTCACAGCAACCCTAATTCAAGTGAGTTTCCTATAAGGGCTACAGTTAACCTGTATGCCCCACTTGCCCAAAGACAGATAACTTCCTGGAATGCTGGGGGCTATGGTTCTTGTGAAATAACAAGCCATGCGTTGTTTTCACTTCAATAGCAAGGTTGGTTGCCCCAACTGCACAGGACGTGCTTGATCACACTTAGGTAGGAAAATATATAGACAGGAAGTACGTCAGGATGTGTGCTTACCCCGGATTGGACGAAGGCAGGAAGTACCATAGCCTTGTGGGGGGGGGGTTGCCTTTATGAGCATCTGACTGACCTAAATTCAGGGCCATTTCTTTGAGAACCCTGAGTATGGAGCTGGCCAGT